CTTACAGCGTTATGACCATAGACATAATATATCTAGACCGAGCTTTTGCCTTTATTTGAATAGTGGGGGTAGAGATGCACATAGAAAAGTACAAACTCTGTTTCGTGCTATTTTATTCTCGCGCGAGTATGCCGATAATGGGTAATAAGGGTTACAAGTACGATTATCGGTCCGCTCATTCGCGGTGATAAGAAAAAAGGCGCGGGTGCGATCCGCGTCCCGTCAACCATGAGAGTAACCGATAACAAAGTAGATTACGTTCACTAGGACGATCCCAACGAATTGGCAAATCGTCTTCGATTGCTCGATTCCTCTCGTCTCGCCGGCAACACCGCTCACGACAACAAAATTCTATCGATACTCGAGGAGCTTCGCGAGGCTGGATTCATTATAAATTAATCCGTTTTCACCGATTGTGTCAGCAGTACGGTTCGCACACCCGAGAACGTCATGTCTGTCAACAAATTTGGCATGTCTCGTGAGAGACACGAAAACGACGCAATCGCTCTGAACGAAGCGCGTTCGTCGACCGCAACCTTGCGGAAGTACGTGCTCGACAATACGTTGAGGCTAAACAATGATGGCGAATACGACGGACGCTCACGTAAGTTACGACGCATAGGCGAACCTCATCACGAGAACGACGTGACGAGTAAACTATGTGGATACCACGTTTCGCGCGCATCGATTGGAACAGAGCGCAAAGACGTTCGAGAAGAGGATCGGAGAGGTAAAAACAACGCTGGAGAGCAACCAGTCTACAGTGAACCAGAGTATACAGTTATTGGATGAACTGCTACGGCAAAGCCTGACACAAATCGCGAGTACTAGAAAACTCGTGGAGTTGCAAGAACAAACGTTGCACGAGGTGAAAAAACCCTCGGTGAAAGACTTGAAAGAGAGGTGGAAACATTGATACTACGACTCGAAGATAGCAACGGCAGACACCGATGGGAAACACAGTAGCATAACACTAAACTAGGAGAATTAAAAACATACTAAACAATATACAAAACTGGAAACAAACGCATTCGATCGAGCTTGCAAAAAGAGACGAACTCATCCAATCGCAGTTTGAAACTTACAACAGGACGATACAGAAGTTGAAACAAAAAACGCCCGACATAGATATGACCGTCGTCAATGTTGATAACACAGTATCGAATCTGCAAAGAGAAATTGCCTCGCACAACGGACAGTTACTTATTCTGCAAAACGCTGTGAGAGAGTTGATAGCAGTGTTGAAAATTACCAGTCGACAGCAAGGAGAACATCCTCGCTTACAAGAACTTCATGATCTTTTACAACCTAAATAAAAAACACATAAAACCAACAAAGAGGACGATGAGCGTCGAGAAACGAATACTCGTGGAGGAGCTGCACGCCCCGGCGCGGAAGATCTTTCCACGCCGACGTGTCATAGTGCGAGGATACGACGATCTGTGGCAGGCCGATGTGGTGGAAATGCGACCGTACTCGCGATTCAATAAGAATCACAATTACATACTGACGGTCATCGATGTGTTGAACAAATGCGCGTGGGCTTTGCCACTCAAGAGCAAGGGTTGAAAGGAAGTGGCCGGGTCCCTCTCCAAACTCTTTCGCGAGAGCGCGCGGTGTCCGAAAAATTTGCAAACGGACAAGGGGAAGGAGTTCTACAACGCCGACGTGCGAGAAGTATTGCAACAACGTCGCGTCAACCATTACTCTACGTATTCCGTGATGAAGGCCTCGGTGGTGGAACGATTCAATCGCACGCTCAAGAACGACATGTGGAAGATGTTCACACTCAACGGATCGTACGTGTGGATCAACGAACTGCCGAATCTGTTGTCGAGATACAATCGTCGCGTACATCGAACGATCCGTATGCGACCCGTAGACGTGACGCCTGAGGCTGCCGAGAAACTCTTGAAAACGGTGTACAGTCGAACGAAGATAGCCGCTCCAGGACGATTCAAGATCGACGATTCGGTGCGCGTGAGCAAATTCAAAACGATATTCGAAAAAGGCTACACACCCAACTGGACTACAGAGGTGTTTCGCATCACCAAGGTACAGCTGACAAATCCTGTGACGTATCTACTGAAAGATTATCGTGGACAACCAGTAGCTGGAGGTTTCTACGAGCACGAATTGTCACGAGTCGCCAATCCCGACATTTATCTGGTGGAGAAGGTTCTACGTAGAAAAGGCAACGAGGCGTACGTAAAGTGGCTAGGAATGGATAAGTCGCACAATTCGTGGATACACAACACAGAAATATTGTAACACTTTATTATCATTATACAATAAAGGTATTTACATGTAGTATTATTCTTGTTGCTGCACCCTGTAATGTCCCCACGGCAACGTGTCGCACGATGCGGGCACGACGTATCGCTTGTCGTCGTGAAGACTGAGAACGAGTTTCGTTTCGGACACGGTATACACCTCGTGCAGTCGCGAACGCACACAGAATTGCGATCTCGATTACTCCGTCATATCGCGCAACGTTCGCGTGAAATCGTCGAACGTTATCGTTCTCTCGACTACGTTTCTCTTTACACCCTTCACCTTTTTCGTGTCGCTCTGTCCGAGCACCCTCGCGGCATACATCTTGGCTCTCAACCCTACGAATTCTACTATAATCGCGCCACGATTCTCATCCTTCATCAGACCCGGAACGCTCTTGTTCGTGCGCGGCATACCGTACGCGTTGTTCTCGGCGTAGTCGCTCGTGTCGAATCTTTCGATGGAGCGTTTCATATCCTCGTAAATGTCGTCGCATACGACAAAATAGATCAGACTGTCCGTGTCCGTGTACATTATGTTACAAACACCGCGATATAACGATACCATGTATTCGTAGTGAAACTCGTACAATCGCGTTTTCGCTATCTCCAGGATGGACATGCCAACGTATATCGGTTTGTTGAGCATCACCTCGAGTTTCCGTAACTCGACGGCCATCAGATCTTCGGAGAAAACGCTTCTACTGTGAAAATTCGGCCTAGCAATTAGCGCTTCCGCTCCATACCTTCCATCCCAACGCGTCACAAGACGCACGTCAACGTGCTCGCGCACGTTTTCCAGTGGTCCCAAATCCCATGGTCTTCCCGTACACCGCGTTGTTCATAAGCTTGTACATAGTTCTCTCGAATTCGTTGTTTGCACGGGTTCTAAACCTCGTATTCAATTCGATGTATCCGCGCAGCCACGGCGATTGCGCGAATCGTAAAACGCGATGAATCTTAAGTATACGCAACCCATGACGTACACATTGCTGCAAAATGCGATAGTGTATGACGTAGCGCGACTTATCGTGAAGCGTCGCTAAAAGCTTCTCGGTGACCTTGCCGGGAGGTGGGGCGCGCAACGGGCAGAACGGAAGATCCGCGTGGGCGTCGTGAAGTTCGCGCGGATACATAAGGTCCACCTCAAGAATGTAACCGATATCGAAATCTGCGGTCACAGCCAAATGTCTAGACTTTCCGCGTTGACGTCATCGACCCATTGAAACTGCGCGTACGACAATGATTCACACATAGCCCATCCGTACAGATTATTTACGTCGTAGTACATGAGATACGTCGACGGTTGTAACGGATCGTACGACGCAAGATACTTATTGTTAGCTCGCGCGTATCTGTAGGAGCACTGACTCAGACCACCGCGTACACCGCGTTCCACGAAGAGGAGCATATCGACGTCGCACAGT